TTTATTGATATATCTATGTTTTATTTATTTGCCTGAAACAAATGAAAAGATATAAGGAACATTTAATCATATTCAAGACTATTCAAAATATGCTTGAAACTCAGATTTCAATGGAAAATATCGTCTACCCCCTCTTTTTAAGAGCTAGAATTAAGGACAATTTACTGTTTAGCGCTGGTATGAAGACAATTTATCAATTATCATTGAACTGTTCTTTGTATTAAACAAAGATTTTATGGCCAAATTGCTATTTATATTGAATTAAATGGTTCCAAAATGTAGGCGGGAATCGAGAGTTATCGTGTGTATTTCTATTGACCTTTACTCGGTATTCAGGGCCTTTGAGCAGTGAGAAATCTTCATCGTGCAAACGTCTGTCGTGACACGGGTCCACGTATTTTTAATGTCTCCTCTGAAGGACCCGCAATTTCACTTCAAAGTTCCGAGTACATGGCGAAAAAACCGTTGCTACCCATTTTTATGGAATAAAAAATGATTATAATGGCAAAGCCCATGCTTCACTCGAAATAAATGTCAGATCAAAAAGTAAAATAGGATGTACACTATGACATTTTTTAATATAGAATCTGTGAAAGTATCATGAAATTTGATTCAGTGGTATAATAGAAGTTGCAGATAAGAGATGTGAACTCTACAATAGAAAGAATACCAGTGATTGATATGGGAAACCCAAAGGATATGCCAGATCAAAAAGTAAAATAGGAGGTGACAATGGCATATGTTACAAGATTCTGAAAAAGTCTCATTAAATTTACTTCAGTGGTATTCGAGGACTTGCTAATTCAGTGGTATTCGAGGACTAGCTAATCCTTATAACTATACACCTCTCCCACTTTTCAAGCGGGTTTGGGGGGGTTAATATTGGCCAAATAAATAGTATGAAAAACGTCTATCAACATTTGACTTAATTATAGTATTGTGTATCTGCTGACAAGATCATTGTATTGACCATAGAATCTGCAAAATGATGTTTTTAAAAGAGACTTTGATATTAATGTTTATTTCAATGACCATTCACATCAAAAACATTGATTTTATTATATTCCTGGGGTGTTAATCGCCTCCTTCTTCTTTTAAGGTGAAATATCCCTTTGCTCCAAATTTCACCAATATTTTTTTGAAATTCCAAACATTGATTTTCACAAACAACAATAGCATTAGATTCAAGTGGAAAATAGTTTAAAGTTTGATGCGTTGCTTACTTTTTCAGAAATGAATATTATGTCTAATCATGATATGAAGAAAATTTGATATGGTAAATAGAAATATCAATAATTTTACCTTGAAATATATGGAGATAACGACCAAAATTCCAGATCAAAAGTTAAGTATGGTTTTATCGGTGTTTTGGTATTGGACATATACTTGTATAAAGAAGGATATGGTGATAACAAACAGTATTCAATATCCAAGTCCATAAAACAATACAAAATAGGAGCAGAACAAACACGGACCTCCAAAACATCAGAGGTGGGATCAGGTGCCATGGCGGAGTGAGCATCCCCTGCCGACCGGTCATACTTGCCTTGTGCTCCTTGTCATGATCGGGAAATAACGGAAAAATCTGTCGTCAATTCAGAGAATAAATAATGGACTAACAATGAGCATGAAAAACGTTAGTCAGCATTTGATTCAATGATAAATTGATTTTGCTGACAAGGTCATTGTATCGACCATAGAACTTACGAAATGATGTCTTTAAACGAGACTGCTGAAATTCTTGTTTCATCAACTTGTTTGTCAATAAATTACCGCGTTGTAGAAATTGTTCATACGTAGAGCATGTTCTTGCGTATCGAATCAACTGAGATATATAAACCCCGTATGCAGGTGATGAAGGTATATTGCTGCATAAGTAAAGGAAGTTGACAATAGAAAAGTTATAGTCAGCACGTTTAGCATAAAGCTTGCTTGTAAGATTACCATTAGCGTCTTTTTCAAGTAAAATATCTTAATATGAAACAAATGTGTTCAGAGTTTGTGGTATCTTTTATCTCAAGCTTACCAGGATATACCGTATCGACATAGGAATGGAAATTACCATTGTTAATTGACAGAACGTCGTCGATATATCTAAATATCGAGTTGAAGGCCACAGCAAGTGTTTTCTTCTTTCCACGCATAAGATTTCAAAATAGGTCTGCTAATAATGGGGCGCAATTGATACCCATGGGAATTCCAATAGATTGTTGGAAGACCTGGTCTCCAAAATAACATAGATATTCTTGATCAGAAATTCAAGCATCTTTTTATGTCAACTTCAGACTACTTGTGTGTACAATCAGAATGCTTTTTAGCAAAATAATTTTGCAAATTATTCCACCTGTGTTTTTTAGGTCCATGTTTGCTCTGATCCTATTTTGTATTGTTTTATTGACTTTGATATTGAATACTGTTCGTTATCGCCATATCCATACATTCCTCTATTAAAGCATTGCCTTTGGCTATTTTTATTTAATGCCAGTAACTTACATCCGTTAACTACCCTGCTCTCTTTTTATGCTATTTCACGGCTGTTTATCGAAAATTAGAGTAGTCTTTAAATTAAAATTTGATAATTAGTATGCCAATGAAATCTGAATATAATATAAGGACATAATCTCAGACCTAGTGTAATATCAGAGGATTAAGTTTGAACTCTAGTGCAGCTAGGCGTTTCGGGCTTTAATTTCAATTTTTTTTAAATTTATAAGTACATATTTTATTTTACTCTACATATGAAGTGGAAAAGACTCGTTTTGCAAACTTCTACATTTTTACATATTCAAATGTTGTGACCTTTGTGATTTCTTTTATCATTGTGTGAGGTTTCATAAGGTCAGATTTGCGCATTTAAAATTAACACACATTTCTTTCAATTACAGCCTGTCACAATCAATATTTAATTATAATTTTTTTTTTACATTATGTTTATCATGTTTATGGTTTTTATTTTATTTACCCTTTACTGGACCTCTATACTTTTGTTACCTTATAGAACCTCAGTTAAGTTTTGCAGGCATTGGTCAGTTACGACCTATTGTATTATGAGGTATTTAAATCGCTGCATAGCTGACCAAGTAGCCGGGGTCCACGTTTTCATAGATTTTTTACATGCCATGCTTGAGGTACAGTCCAAGATGAGTAGATAGATACTTTTTTCAACGGTAACCATATTTCTCCATAAGGGGTAAGTTTGTTTTTTATTTTATATGTAAGTTTTTGTAGGATTAAACTCTGCCTTTTTACTCACAAACTGAATAAAAGTGCGAAGCACAGTTTTTAAAACGTAAATTCTGAAAAAAGAACGTTTAATTCTTATAATTCCAATTACAATTTTTTTTTAATTATTAAGATTATTTCTCTTTGAGATACAATTCGTTATTTTGTAATGTTTTTGTATATACAAGATTAATATTTAAAATCCAACTTAAAATGTCAAAACTATCAATAAATAAACTTATAAAAACATTGCTACGCATTTTCTCCAGAATAATTGCTTGACCATGGTATTCTCGACAAGTCATAGCAGACCGATGACGTCCTCGATGCTCTGGTTTAAAGATTAGGGAGAGTATTCTGTAGGATGTAAATATATGATTTTGATGCTGATAAGGCGTCTGAGGTATGTTTCTTTTCCTTATCACAACAATACAAACTGAGCTGATATATGACAGCATGATCAGCCAGCGACTTTTTTTAAAATTCACACTCGTGATCCTTCAGTGACATAAACTTTAACCGTAATAGTCAGTCCTGTTTTTCTCCTTTTCATTCATTCATTCATATTTATTTTGTAATTAATTTAGCTGACTAATCTGTTTTCATTGTTTTTTCAAGAAAGTAGATTGAAAAATTCATCGATGTTGTCAAAACACAGGGAATCAATAAATAAAATTAAGATTGGAATTATTGAGTAATACATTTAAAACGTAGAACTATTTAAGAACTTGAGATAAGTAATGTTTTTGTTACTATTTACGTATACAGCTTTTGCTGGGTAGAGTTACTCATGCGTTTATTGTTCTATTTTTGTGCAATGTACTGAGTTATATACGCACGTAGGCTATTTTGTTTTGCCGCTTATAAAGTCGGTGTTGTGGGTTTAATGGTTAAAACCACTTTTGCTCAGATATTGTGTATTCTTAACGTTGTTTTATAATAGTGTTCGGTTAGAATTACCGGGACTGTTTGTATGGTGTGCCATTAGTGCAATTGTAGTCAATGGTGACTTGAGTTTTTCTTTTTGTATACGTAACATGTGACTCAAAAAAATGTTATTTAATTTAAAGGTTCCTGATGTAATCCAACATTTATCTAGCCATGTGTGTGTTGGCGACGACCTTACCAGACCGGGATACCCACTGGGAGCCAGTTGGCGGGAGTCCGTCGTGAAACGGGGCGTGTCTGCGTGGACAACAAAGTGCTAAGATACGATTGAGGATAAATAGAGACTTAAATATCTTTTATTGTAGATAATAGTTGTACAAATATGTTGTAAATATTGTTTTTATTGATTTTATATATATAGATAAAAAATTGTAAATAGAAAAAAAAATCTTGTTGTGTCTGACTGGACAGAGCACGACAGCTGTCGTGACACAGAATGGATCGTTTAGTTTTCCTTTGTGCCTTTTTTGGAGTAGCCTTCTCAGCCCAGTACGTTGATGACACTTTATAACTGATGTGCAGAGATTCATGACTCAAAATAATATGAACACATACTTTTTCATTAGATAACTTTGTTATTTTAACGCACTTGCATGAATGCAGTTTTTATATCAATCTTAATCTATTACATGTATATAAGCCCATCCTTTTTTTTTAACATTTTTTCTTATTCCTTAATAAAATTGTATGCATATCATAAATTTGACATATGTGAAGTAACCCTGCTTAAGGACTTTCATTTGTTGTTTAACTTTTTTTACAGGATAGATTTTCGCCCTTACAACCAGTCTGCTCTGGCTCTTTTCCATGGATCAGTATACAATTATTTAATGCCTGAGCAGTCAATAGACCAGAATATTTTTCACAAGGTGCAGGGAACAGCTCAGTGTGTTCTATTGCCCGAGGCCCGCGGCCGAGGGCAATAGAACACACTGAGCTGTTCCCTGCACCGAGGGAAAAATTTTGTGGTCTTTTGACTGTTCAGGCATTAAATAATTGTTTTATTACCTAATTTTATTTTCCGTATTAAGTGTTGAAAATTGTATATTCAGTACATAAGGTTCCCGTACCATATTGTTAATTTTTACCTAGATACGGTGCATCTGTAATATTAATTAAAGATTGATTGTATAGACTATTGTTTACATTCCTATCGAAAATTTTTCACTCTTATGGAGACGCCACCACTTCCCGGTGGAGAGGGGCCTTTTTCGTGCCAGCAGAGCACCTACTGCTACACGGGACCTCGGTTGACAGGTCTCACGCGAAGGACCAGTCTCCACATCCCACAGTGTATTAATTAAAAGTAACTCTCATTAAATAAAATATCCGACCTTTGACATCAAACAATTTTTAAAACCAATGCAGAAAAATCGAATAAGATAATTTTTTACCATGTTTGTGCAGTGTTACAAACAACTAAATTCGAAACCTGGATCGTTTTTGACAAAATACGTCACCGTTCAATATAACGCGCAGTCTATTGACCGGTCAATAGAACGCACATTCTATTGACCGGTCAATAGATCGGTTTGAAAAGATAAGGAAAACTGAAAACACATCCAGAATAGATGAAAATATTAAATCTCTAATAAAACAACAAAATTCACTTGATTAGGTAATAAATACTAATAATGATGGAGTCTTCTCTCGCCAGGAATTGGACAAAGAATTTGTCAAATATGACATCAACGGTAAGAACTCATTTTCACCATTTTTTCATCAAGTCATATCTTCTAGATCAAAGTACAATATGCTGGAATGGTATCAATAATTTCTCATCAATTGATTTATAATCACAACAGTAAAAAGCTGTTAAAAGTAAGCTTGTATAATAGAAAATACATGTAGATATTTCTAATAATACTCATGTCTAAATGAAAACTAAAATTAATTTTTATAACAATTATTACTATGAGATGTAATGTCTCTGGTTCAAATAAAACATAAAGTATGCAAAGAAAATAAATTTGATGACCTTTCAACTGAGTATAATTTTCAGGAATTTCTATAAAACTCTATTTAGGTTCCAAAGAGTCATAGTTATTGTCTCGCACTATGTTTTTGTTTAAATCCAAGATGCCAAAATGTGCATGGTAAATACAAAATTGTTCCTTCATTAAGTATCCATTGAAAGTTTTAACACATTGCTATGTTTTTTGAGAAAATTAATCATCAAAATAAAAAAAACGTTATTTAGGAACTTTGCTTTAATGGTCATAACAAAAAGAATCAATCATTTTCTTTTCCAGAAATATTTCTATTTTTATATGCATTTAAATGCTTACTTATAATAACTTTCAATTTCTAAATTCATTCTTAAAAATATATATATAAATGTATATCAAAATTTTGAAAACTGTTTACACGAACGTGAAACTTTCTTGTCATATTTTTCAGGTGATGGTCGTGTTTCCCGCCACGAGTACACGGAGTATGTTACAATAAACACCCCATCACTTCGCCAGTTCTCGCATGCGCTGTATGATGATTACGACGTTTCCGGTGATCATCATCTAGACAAGCACGATTATGACATGTACTACGCTAAAGTAGATGCCGATGGTAAATATATTTTATTTCATTTGGAAATTTATACATTCGTTAATTGTGTGGAAGAAAATTTAGTCATAGAGTTGATACGTAATGGTTTTTCTGCAGGGGACGGCTCAGTGACTGAAGATGAATTTTTTAACTACTGGGTTGATGCAAGTTTTACAGAGAGAGAGAGAGAGAGAGAGAGAGAGAGAGAGAGGCAATTATTATAATAACAATAATCATTTAATAGTCTTATTATGAGAAAAATTTAAAGAAGTTCCATGTCATGTCAATAAAATATACTTGCATTAGATCGTTCTTTTTTTAGGGTGATGGATTTGTGGGTTGGTCTGTAGTGTCCATCTTTGATTAATTATCCCTATTCTTTGCTTAATACGAGAACCACATTTTACACTTTTACACCATACGTACATTTCTACAAAGACAGATATATAGTATTTTAATTTAGTGTGACCTTTCCCTTCAAGGACATAAGCAACGTACCTTACCTACTGATTATTTTTAAAGATATTCCTAAATTAAGATTATAGTGTCATCAGGTGTTCATAGACAAAAAAATCAGCATGCATTACCAGGGTTTTTTGAAAGATAACTATTGATGAAAATTCTTAGATGAATTAAAGAAAAGTACATAAAAAATACTAGAAACATATTCTACATGTTTCTTTTATTAAAAAATGGATTAGAAGAAATGTACAACATCATATATAAACATTAAAATATAGCACACAATTCCTTCAAGAATTAGACCTCTTTAACTCCATGGAAATGGACAGAAATGTTCAAGATATGTTGCGTATGACCTTAATAAAGTTTCATTTATAGGCCAAATTATCAAAAAACCTATTTTTCCCTAAAATTTATTTTTGTTGCCGTGCAGAAAATTTTGCTTTTGTACTATCAAATCAGCAGAATGTTTTTTAAGAAAATATATTCTTCTTGTAGCTGTTCATAAGAACTGAACACCTACATGGTTCTCATCTTGGATAAAAGCAACATCACCTGACCTGCGAGAAAAAATACTGTAAAAGGAAAACACGTTTTTAAATTCTATTTATATATGAATTCTAAATAAAGATTACCTTATCTAGATTTAGAATGCTTATAAATACCATAGCCGTGACGTGATCTTCCAAAGTAGTGTCTCATACAATATGTTGAAGGTAGCTTTTATTGTCTGGGGTGTAGGATTAGCCCTCGCCGTACAGTAAGTTGATGTAACAATACAGTGTCAAAGTAATAGTTCAGTATATAAATGTAACAACACAGTAAGTAAATGCAGCAATATACCTTCATCGCCTGCATACAGGATTTATATCTCTCAGTTGATTCGATACGCGAAAGTATGTTCCACATATGAACAATTTCTTTAACGAGTTAAGTTATTGACAAACACGTTTATTAAACAAGAATATCAGCAACTAGTTTAAAGTCATCATTTCGTAGGTTCTAGGGTCAATACAATGACCTTGCCAGCAAAAATAATTTATCATTAAGTAAAATACTGATTGAAGCCTTTCATATTAATAATTAGACCATTATTCATACACTGAATTGGCGACGGATTTTTCCATTATTTCCCGATCATGACAAGGAGCATACGGCGGGTGTGACCGGTCTGCAGGAGATAATCGCTCCTTCATTGCACCTTATCCCACTTGGAGGTAATGAAAAATTAATATCACCTATTCAAATAAGTAATATCACCCATTCGAATAGATGATAACACTTTTTGCCAGTAAATGCCGAAACGGCGCCTCATATGTAACAATACACATGATACAAGTCCAAACAGGCAATTCGGCGATTCATGAATTATATGAAGATAACGGACAGTATTCAAGCTAAAAAACTATCTATATATATATATATCACACAGTAAGTTATTTTGAACATTAAAATATAATTATGTACCAATACAAGTCCAAAACAGGCAATTCGGTAAATCATGAATGATATGGGGATAACGAACAGTATTCAAGCTCAAAAGTCCATTAAACATAAAACAATATAATGTTATATTGTCAGTCCGCGACACATTCATATAATGTAGCGATAAAATGTTAGTCTAAAAGTATAAATAGTAAAGGTTAAATACTATGAAATGAGTTACCGTTAGGATATTACCTATTCAATAGGTTACTGTAGCAATACTGTAAGCTGATATTAAAAGTGAACAAATTATGTAGCAATACCCAACGTGTAGTAAGATCATTTCAATTCAATGAAGTTAATGGAATAATACATATGCGACATTTTACAACCCAGCGAGTCCAAGTAAAGATTCAATGATTCATGAAACAATATACACTGTATATGAAGAAGTCATGAAAGGATTCAGAAAGATAACATATAAGGCAAAATTGGAGGAATCGTGCAAATAGTAAATCTAACAATGGTGATACTGGGTAATTGATCAAATTATACTGATAAATTATAATTGACCAAACTGTATTGGGTAGTTGACGAAATTTAACTGAATACTTGACCAAATTGTACTTGATATTTGACAAAATTAAACTGAATTCTTGGCCAAACTGTAATTAGGTAGTTGACCAAATTGTAATGATTAGGTGAGGAATTTTTCTTAATAATTGACCAAGTTATACTGGGAACTTGACCAAATTATATTGGGTAGTTGACCGAACTGTATTGGGTAGTTGACCAAAGTGTATTGGGTAGTTTAACAAAGTGTATTGGATAATTGACCAAATTATACTGAATAATTGACCAAATTGTACTCGACTGGTAAAATTCAATCCTTCAATGCTGTAATGTTACTTTTGAAATTGATAATACGATAGGTTGTACGTAACTGTCTTATCAAGTCGTGCTATCGTAGGCGAAGAACGTGTCCTGATGTCATGTTCATTCCTATACATTTGTTGTTCCCTGTGGTTGAACCCTTACAAAAATATTATAGATAACTAAGATAACAAAGTATTCACTATTCTTAATTAAAGGATTTTTAATTTAGATTTCATATTATGTTCCTTACTGAAATACATACATGTATTTTTTTTTTATATTAAATAAACATATTTCTTGTTTATCAACATTATTTCCAAATCTTACATCACTGGTAAATGCATTCAAGTAATTAAAATCTTCGAAATCTGAAAAGGTATATGATTTTATAGTTAACTACAGCACAATTTTGATAAAGCATGTAGACCTAGCAATTTATCTTATAATATCTATTAGAACTAAACTCTTGTATTTCCTCATGAATTCCAAGTCTACTTAATCAGATCTACAAATAATGGGCATATTCAGTAATTAAGCTACACGAATTTTGTCCAAAGCTTCTCGTATTTGTTAGTTTTTGTAGATCGTATAGAACAACACACTTGTATAAGCGTCCCCTTTACAATCTACAAAATCACCAATGGATCCAACTTCAACAATTGATGATTCTTTAATAAAAAAAAAAATAAGGAATGCATGCATTTTGCACCCAAAATTGATTTATCCTCTGTTTGTAAGATTTTGTATGCATCTTAAACTCATCAACTGACAGAACTGAAAATTTTGTTATGCTTAGTGTCATCAGCGATGACTCTCTTACTGGTCTATGTATTTCTGTACATGTATTTGAGAATTTTTACGTACCTTCTTTTTGCGAGATAGCTTTATAAAGGGGGCGCTTCTTAAACAATTTCTTTATACATGTGTATTGTTCTATACAATTTGTTTTAAAATGGATTAGGTGAGAAAAAAATTTAGAGGAATTTTGGTAAATAAGAGAAGAAAAAAATTCCCACAAAAACAATGTTTTTTTTTCAGTAGTTATAACCTTTGCCTTCGAGTTTACCCTTCCAGTAAATATAAACGGCACGCCAAATTCACAAAAATGAGCTAAACATAGTTTCACAGTTGAAAAACTAGGTTTATCGACTGTAAACTAAAGTTTACAAACCGTGAACTATAGTTAACGATTCGTTAGCTATAGTTTTCATCTGTAAAACTAAATTTAACGGTAACAATAGATTTTGTTGATAAACATAAATTCACGTCTGTAAACTATAATTTACAATCGTGAATTATAGTTAAAAGTTGTTAATCATAGTTTCACAAATCGTGAAACTATATTTATCAGATCGTTAACTATAGTTAAGAGTTGTAAACCATAGTTTACAAATCGTGAAACTGTATTTATCAGATAATCTATGTTTTGCAATCGCACATGATTGTTTTCAGTGTTAAGTATAGTTTACGGTTCTGAAACATAGATTGTCGCGTTAACTATGGTTTACAGATGTGAAATATAGATTAACGTTGTTAACTCTAGTTTACAGTCCGTAAACTTTAGTTTACAACCGAACCTAGTTTATCGACTGTGAAACTATGTTTAGCGCATTTTGTTAATTTGGCGTGCCATTAATATACATAACTACAGCATGCTCAATTATTTTCAAAAGACTTTTAAGAATTATTATAAGTCATATCACTTTTTAAACCAACAACCGATTAAATGATTAAATTAATATACAAGTAATACATGTTTTTCTAGGGTGGACTTCCGACCATACGACCACTCTGCCGAACTACTTTTCAATGGATCCGACTTCAACCATGATCACGTCTTTTCACGTGATGAACTAGAGCAAGAGTTTCAAAAGTATGACGCAAACGGTAAGCTAAGAATGCGCTATTCAGGACAATTCTCTTAGACTATAGTATATTTTTTAAAAAATAAAAACTTTTTAACAAAATAATAGATTTACTTTAGAAATATTCCAATCAAAATAGGGGATGGCCGTGTTTCCCGCCATGAGTATACAACATACGTAACAACCACTACCCCAGAACTCCATGACTTTGCACATGCACTCTACGATGATTATGATGTTTCCGGGGACCACCATCTTGATCATCATGATTATGACATGTATTACGCCAAACTCGATGCTGACGGTAAGTTTAGGAAGCAATTTCATAAGTCTAGGGGTTTTTTTGTTCACCCAGCTCTCAAAAACCTACATTGGAAAAACACACAATCCCAAAAAATAAAACAAAGGCATAAAATGACTTTCAAAGGACTTGATTTCATTTTTAAAAAAATCTTGTGAAATATATATTCTTTAGCAACATCAAGGTAATAAATGCTTAAAACATATTAGAGAAAACGACATAATTCAAGAGTTTGACCATAATCATCAGTTTCTTGTAATTTTGATATATTGTTTGACAAAAAACCAAGGTGCAGTAGACGCTAAATATAGAAATAACTTATATAGCCTTCATTTATTTCAGTAAAATGTCAACGTTCGAATATTAAACCCATAGTTAAAGGAGAAAAAGGTATTTTTAGAGTAAATGTTTCATTTTGCAGGTGATGGTCAAGTTACACGTACAGAATTCGTGGATTACTGGGTTAAAGTAAGTTTTGAAAGGATAAAAACGAATATTGAAAATATTTCCACCTTTGATTTGTTTTTTAATCTCCCAGTATCTATAGATTTTAATTTAAAATCAATATTTTCGTATTTCCATTGATTTTTATGTAAAAACAATATCTTTCTATTTCACCTATAATGATAGATAAATTCAAATGCATTTTTCTTTCGCTTTTTTTTTCAAAAAAGAAAAATATTCAATGCAATGTTAATCTTCTGTTTCTCTTTGTCAGCTGTTCATAGCCACGGAGCACCTTCACGGACACGGTCATAGTGGTCATGGAAAATAAGCACATTTGAAAGATTAAAATAAAAAAATGTATACATTTGTATAAAAATACGAGCATTTGCCTTATCTTATTCTCGTTTTCTTTGATAACACCACAGTATGTATACCAGGGACGGGGTCAATTACTTTAAAAGGAAATTAAGTTAATTACTTCATTTTGATATTATTATAAATAAGATATGGGTTTCACCATGCAGACATATGATTTGATTAAATAACATTTTTGCAAAAGTAGAATTTACGAAAGTAAATTTGTAAACAAAACGAAAGGATACCAGTTTGATATTGGTATTGTATTATTTTTATTGATCGTTTAAGTAAGGCAAATAAACTTTTGTTTACATAAGAAATATATGAAATAAGAAAAATAATACCTGTAGTTCGAACATTTTATTCACAATAATATGACCCACTTACAGACAAGAAACAACAGCAAGTTGAGGCATCTTAAACCTTCCTAGCTTTGATTTACATTTATACATTTACAATGACGATCTTCTTTGATAAACTATTTTACACAGCTATGTTATCTTGAAAACGATTTTAAAAGAAGAGGAAAAAAAGTCTAGAAGATTTAAAAATAAGACTTTTAGTGTTTATATTTTAGTAAAATAAATGCTACTTAAGAAACTGTAATATTTGTTCGCAAAATAAAATATATCTTACAATGAATCCTAAATATAAACAAACCATTATATACACGATTTGATTAGATAAATACAGAACTAACGTCTAAGAGAAGTTAATTCATTTTTTTATTATAACTGGTAGAATATCACAGACTTTTGAAAAATGAGCGTTTCTATTTGTTCCCAGTCTCAGCCAGTTCAGTCTTCTCCTGAGGCATTGAATTTCGTATATCAATGCATAAAAGACTTGGAAGTGTCAATTTAATTGATATGGTCATAATCAAAATCGTGACGTTATAGATTGCACCTCTATTCAAACACAAAATAGACCAATAGAAAAATTATCTTTGTGGACATTAAATAGAAAAATTATCTTTGTGGACATTGAATTAAGTTCAAAGGTGTGCGAAATATGAGCCACTTATTTGTATGATATTATACTCTTGTATTTTCTTAAATTTCCTCCACAAGCTAAATTTTCTATATATATATCTTTTTTTTAGCTTAACCTGTATGAATTCAGTTACTGTAGAAAACACGACATTTATGTACATTTTAAAAAGTAATCAAGGAAGAAACAGTTTGTTTTGAGTTGATTTACTCAAAACTCCAATGTCTAAAATCTAAATTTCAAGAAGATAAACAATATTAATGCAGTCTTCTAAATTTTCTTTACAAAAAAATCCACATGATTTTATTTTAAGCTGCATGCCAGTAATCATTTCTGACTAGTTTTCCGACAAAACATCAATTTCAACTCATTTCTTAATTGTGTAATGTGAAAGCAATATATGATCGGGTTTAAAATAGAATTGAAATTTGCCGCTGCAAAAGTACCGACAGCAACCGTCTGAGGAGTGGTAGTAAACATGAGAGCTATATTAAACGGTCCAGTGAACAAAAAGAGAGCCAGCAGGATCTTGCTCACTAGTTTCATCGACTTGATGACTCTCTTTCGCTTTACATCCTCCATCTTCCCGGCATCAGAACCACTTGACATATTCATGTATCGTTTTCTTACTTCATGTATTGTTAGGGCGTAGAAAATCAGAGTAAGCAACAAGAAGGTTGAGCTTATAACGCACAAAATTTGTCGTACAATGTGGATATTTTGACCAAAGACGGTTGTATAAAAGCATTTGGATTGATCTCTGACCGGTGAAACAAGCAAAGAAATAAGAGTGCATGTTGTTGCCCAACTTACAATGTAAATGTAATATTTTCGATTGCCGTCAAAGAGTCGTTGTGCCCAGACACTTTCTGAAAGGACGAGGAACCGATGAAAGCTTATTAAGAAAACCTGAAAAAGCGACATGATCAGACTAGTAATACCACCTAAATTTACCATGAGGCACCAAACTATTGCTCCAGAAAATTGGGGGAAAAGTAATCTACTCCCTGCAATGAATGAGCTGTACCCCATCAAGAAGTCGCTTAGGGACAGACCCATAACGAGGTTATAGTTTGTGTTTTGTCGGAGTTCGGAGTTTCTGGCAGATGCCACCATTACCAGAGCATTTAACACCATGACAACAACCCCGACGCCTAGAGTAGCTGCTGGAATTATGGGTGGTAGTGAATTTATGGTAGAAGATGAATCGGTGGTCCATTTGTTTGTGAAATTATCGATTCGGAAGTGATCATCACCAATGCTTGGAACGGTGGATACTTTTTGTTCTACAGACTGGTTTATGTTAATACCTGTGCTTTGCTTTTCTGTTACCTTGGCCCAAATACTGGTAGAGCGGGAATCCTGATAATATTCGTTGATTGTTTCATTTCGTTCCTTATTGGTAGAAGGTTTGGTCCATTTGTATGTTGACTTAGCTGTCTGTTTATCAGTTGTTTGTACTGTTATCTCTTGCACCTCATTCGTTATATTTCCATTTAAATTGTTTCCATGGACTAGCGCTGCGATTGCAAAAAGGGTCGGTGTAACCATCGACTTCTCAAATATCGCCATATTTTGGAAGAATGTTCCAGTGTTAGTAACTGTAAAAATCAGTTACAATTTTCCTTGATTTTAATTTCATTTTTTTAAATTCTAAATTATGAAAATGGATCTTTAAGTAGGTACACGTAGGTATCCTATACATAGCTAAATCTTTTCTCTTTTTTTTTTGGTAATTAAGAATTTCTAGAATTGTTTAAATTAATTTGTCAATTTAGTTGAGCAGTGGAACTACAGTAGAAAATATGGATTAAAGACATGTTATTTTGTAGTAGAATTTGGTTCACATATTCCCATTGATAAATTAACCTTAACCAAATTCTTCAAAAGATATTTAAAGATCAATTTGGTATTTTCAAAAAAAAACTTTAAAAATCTCGTGCTTTTTATTTTATAAATGCATTTTTACATACCTTCAAAGAAGTTATAAAACGGAGTTCCAAGGAAGAAAATCTTTTTCAGAGTTGCATTTGTCTTTGATAGTTCTTCTATCCAACAAAGGTGTTTTGTAGAGAATTCCTTTCTATCTTCTTCATCGCATTGTACTTCATCCTATATATATATATATATATATATATATATATATATATATATATATATATATATATATATATATATATATATATATATATATATATATATATATATATATATATATATATATAATGATAATACATTTCTTTTGTGTGGAGCTGTATAGGGCGGGCTCTCTTTAACAAAACGTAATTGGAAAGGATTTTTTTTTTGTAATTTTTCTTCTCAAAACCAAGAAGGTGTTTTACTTTATCACCCTTACAACCAACCTTTTCTTTTACTTTCTTTAATATGTCATCACGATATTGAGTGCTACGTTTTTCCATCTATAATAATTAATTCGCCTTTCAGGAATCTATTTTCACTATAACGAACACCTCTGGAAGAAGTATACAATTTGAATTTTCTACGTCTCTTGGTTAAAGAATGGGGTTAAAATATTCATAAATCATCAATTTTCTTATCATATATTTTTTCGCAGAAATGTTGCTATTCTTTATTAAAAATACTGCACACTCTGCACAATCTTTTCTTGAAATAAATCTTTAAAATGAACCAGATCTCAACGTACTCGTTGCAATACATTTGCTTGTGTTGATTTCATCAACCTCTTTTAACGTCAGATTTTATTAAATTCTATCATCATAATTTTAATGGAATAGTTGGCTAATATAGCATAAAAATAAAATATCTGCAATCTCATTGAATCGTAGATTAACTGACGTGTTAGTCCTTTGTTTCTATGTAATTGACAGAGAATTATTCCGTCTAAATAGTCAATTTATGCCTCACGGCGGGTGCACGTGATACTGTGCGCAAGGGTTGCTTACTTCTCCTTGACATCTGAATCCACATTTGGATTTTTCGGAAATCCGCTTTTAATGTCCTTTTAACAGATTTGCATTATTTAGAAAAAAATGAGAATTGTCCTACGACTACGACAGAAAATTGAGATAAAAAGTAACATTGACACAAATTTGATAAATAATACTTGTGTACAAGGCAAAATTTGAAAAAAAACAAAATCGCCACAACTGAAAATGGAACTAATTTGAATATTTGATAATCATTTATTCATTTATATTTAGCAAAATGTCTCTTGATTTTAACTTTTTATTGCTTTTCTAAATTTTGTTTGTCATAAAATAATCATAAAAAGACCTTGCAGTGAATGGTAGACTTCACAAGAAGCTACATGTATACATGAAGGTAAAGCATCCTCTAAAATAACTTGTCCATATGTTTACTTCATTTTTAGAAGCCTTATAATGATAAATACAATTTAGGAATTTCATGTTGATATTTTCTGAATAAAAATTAAGTCCTCTAGTTTTTGAAAATGTTTATACCTTTAAATTAATTCATCAATCCATTTCTTCTTCAGTCTTTGTTTTTTAATTATTATTGAAGCAACATAATGGAATATCAAAGTATATCGTAGGAAGTCTTTCTTTTAAATACGAACGGAATTCACATTTGGTTTTAGAATCCCTTCATCATTTGTTCGCCGTGTTAAAAGGAAGAGTTTTCTTATTACAATTATTCTGTTGTAAATGAAAAAGTAATGTCCTCCATTGATGCTATATGTTCCTTTTCAAGAATTGCTTATTTGAAATGATTTTCAAACTATTGTTGGAGACTGTGTTAGTGATAGAAGTATAAAGATACATTGACCACAAATGCAGCTGGTTTATGGTGGATATAGATAAGTAATTGAAATTTAATATTGATTTTAGCACCATTTTCATCTTTCTCACTTTCTCTGTGAAAGGGTATGTTGTACTTATATGCCAGCGTCAAGGTTAAAATCGTAATTTTCCCTCAACATATGTTTTTATCCCAAATTTAATTATTTCGAATCATAACTTTGTGATTAATAAGTCATTTCAACGTACAATAAATCTGTATAAACACATTAATTAAAAACATTTTTATTATTCTTGTATTCCCTTAAAGATATTTTCTAAAATGTCAGACCTTCACTCGGCACTAAGTGATATCGAGCTGGGGCAGTAATATAATCTCATTAAGTACGTATGTATTGTACGTCACCCGCTTGAGCAAGAGCAAGCTCTAGGTACAAACACTCTCTAAAACGATGTAAGCGATTGACAAAGGAGTTGAAGAAACAATGATATTAACATTCTCATTTTAAGTCAAAATTTCAGATTTTTTTTTTGTTAAAACATTGACTTTGTAACTATAAGTTTTTGCCTTATAGTAAACACGACTTGCATAATATTTTTACTGTAAAATAAGTTTGTAAACATGTTTAAGAAGTCTACAATCTATGCAACGTTTATAACTTTTTTTTACAATACTAAACATTATATATTCATATTGTGAAAATATATACGAAAGTTTCGCGTCACAGTTGTCTTTTTTTACGTTTGGTAATTACTTTCCAAAAAATGGCACTTTGTATAATATCTTTTTTTTTTATCCGTATCTAAATAGAATATGCCTCCTGAAACTTTTAAGTCCGTGTATATAACCTGTACAGACCAGTTAATCACCACGTAATAATCTATTATGCTTATTTGTTAATTAGAGGTCTTATTATTTTTTTAACAAAAGCTTCATGAAAATATATTCTGCAGTTTTTCTTTTGATACAAAAACATTCATTCAAACACCATTTTCATCTTTCTCACCTTCTCTGTGAGGTTATAATCATTAATTTTTCCCTCTACATGTTTTTATCCCAAATTTGATTCTTTCAAAGCATACTTTCGCGATTAATAATTCATTTCAACATTAATGAATCTATTTGTACGCATTAATTAAAACAATTTCATCATACTTGTATAACAACATATCATAGTTTTTAAAAGCAGAATTTTGAGAAGAAAAAAAAATAAATGAAAAATATCCCTTTCCCAACGCCAAATTCCCACTTTTCTTTAATATATATATGCCGTGTTCGAGACTAGAATATATACCATAGGCAATAGAATAATTGCACTTGTTTTCTTATATAGATGTATCATACTGTAGATTGGCAAATATTCACGATGGCTTTAATTTCGCTACGTGATTTATTAATTTTCCGCGAAATTAAACCCATCGTAAATTTTATTATTTGTTTTTAAAGCTTTTAAATGCTTATATGATATTTAAAATCAATTTCTTGCAGCGTGAAATTAAAACCATCGCAATTGGTACTTTATGAGATATCGTGAAATTTTAACACCGTGGAATTAAAACGACTTACAGTATTTTGTTTGTTTGTGATGAATGTCTTTTTTAAGCTATTTTCTAAAATGTCAGACCTTCACTCAGCACTAGGTGATATGGAGAAGGGGCAGTAATATACTCTTATCAACTGCATATGGAGTGTAAGTCTCCCACTTGATGCAAGAGCAAGCTCTAGGGACAAACAGTTTCTAAAACGATGCGAGCTACATGTATTGATAAAGAAGATGGCGAACCTATGATAATAACAGTTTCGTTTAAAGCCAAAATTTCGAAAATTTTACGGTCGGTACACTGACCTCGTTATTATTTTGTATTAATTTCCGCCTCATACTGAACGCGACTTGCATAATATTTTTACAGTAAAATGGGTCTGTAAATATGAAATTCTTTATTTTCCCTATAGTAACGAAATTCTGAGTAGAGATCACTTACATACATGTAAATTGCACATCCAACTTTCACGGAAACATCCTTTTTGCAGAAATTCATTCAGGTTTATAATGAACAGGTCTAAGTATATCTTAAAAATTGCTAAAGATTTATGAAATATTTAATGGCAAAGCAATTGATAGACAAGCTTTAATCGAAGAAAACAAATATATGACTTGGAAATGTTTTAGAGACATTTATTTGACAAATATATGTACAATATCAAACATTAATAACAATAAGAAATGGAATATGATTTCAAGCAAATTAAACATGTACAAAAACATAAATATCAATTCAAAAAGGATTGCAATCTCCTTAGTTGAATTGTAATTGTTTAAAAGGATGGTGACAAAGATATTAAGTATAAGTAAACTTAATAATACAGACAAGGAAAAATAATAGAAATAAAGATTAAATAAATGAGCAATAAGTCGGATTTTTTGTGAAAAATTAGACACTCAGTGTTAGCAAATTAAAATTGTTCCAGGTCTTTTTCTTGTTTCTTTCAAGAATTATAACAGTGAAATATATAAATAAAGAACAATAATCGTGCTTAAATATCCAAAACAAACAACAACAAAAAACATTACAAACAGTGTTTTAGAAAATTATCAACATTTCTTTCACACAAGAAGAGAAGTGATAAAAAAAAATCCTACAGAACACTTGAAAATTCAGAAAAAGTAAAAAAAAAAATCCCAGTCAATTTAAACATTATAAAAACAATAGCTGAAATGTATGAAGTCAATACGCTGAATAAACCACCTCCCAAGAACATTCTTCACCTCGCCCTTAGGGCTCGGTTAAAGTTGTACTCACCACGTGACATTTGTTTGTTATTTAACGTCC